ACAGTCGCTCTACGCACGCTCTGTTATTATAATAAAAATTTTTACTGACTTGCTGAGGAGTAGATCATAAGAATGCCATGTTTTTTGAAGTCTCCACATTTATCAGAATCAGAGTCAGAATATCAAGAGAGCAGAAAAAGATAATATGATCTGTTTTACTGTTGCTTGGCTGAAACCTGTGAGTGATGATCTACTGGTGATCGTGCTGAGAACAAGAAATATGGTTAGAGGTCATTTATTGAAAAGGTTAAGGACAAAATACCGAAGAGAAAGCTTTTCAAAAATATGCTTTTACGCTGCCTACCGAAGGTTCTTCATTATATCCATTATTTGTGATATAAGAGTATATTAAATTTGTGCAAGTCTGTACAACATCCAGAAACACTTGAAATAGATTGGGCTTTCATTACACTGGTTATACTCGCCTGTCAGTCCATCTGTCCGTCTCCTCATCTTGTTTTCTGTAGGTCGCGATTTTTCAGATATTTTGACGCAATACATCAGTATGTTTTCGTCCCAAGGACGAACGCTATCTATTATACTGAGAGATTCAGAGTCATTTTCTGAGTCGATTTAAGCGTCTCTGTCCGTCTGTTCGCCTTGTTTTCGCCTTGTTTTCGCCTTGTTTTCTTGTGTTCAACGTACAAGGCGCAATTTTAAGGCGCAATTTTGGACCACTTCCCAAACTTCAAAGGTTTATTTGAAAAAGTCTTTATATGCACAATCGCATTAAGCGAAGTAGTGTAGGATATTTAATGGTGAGCGCTGGCCCGCTACAATGTTTTTGGTTCTTTTCATTATAAAATTATATCTGAAATCTTGTAAAATGTTGCAGAAAATAATTAAAATTTTTTTAATTAATATTGCATCATTATATCTCAATAAATGCGTGTTTTAAGTGAAAAATGGCCATAATTGGCGGAAGCACCTATTACTGTAGTTAGCTACTAAATATTATTTTAGTTATAAAAAGCTATTAATTTTTATTAAATTTTCATTTTGTGCCAGCAAAGCCACTTTTAGGACTGAAAGTAACTTTAGCACTTTTATGTATTCTTAGATGATTTCACAGCTAGGAGCTTTTAGTTATGCCGGTACTACTACTAATAATGTGGCGCTGGTACTAGCCCATTTAAGTCAATTCTTGGAAATTTCTTTGGCTTGCAAGTAATACTAACGTAGCAAGCATCTCAAGGAAACTGAAATCATTTATTCAGAATCGCTTCGCTAATGAAACTGAGCATAGACTGTTGAGAAAACTGAAACTACACCGGTTTGCTTCGTAATATTCTTTACTAATTTTTATTACAAAATTTATAAGACTTTGTTGCCATGTTGTTCATGCATTACTATGAACCAGTTTTTAACCTTTAGGATTTTTCTTCTCTCCTTTTTCCTTGATTGTAGATATAAAGCAAACTTAATGTCATGAAGTTGTAAATTCATTTGGTGAGACGTGCGCTTCGCACCGAGATAATTGATATTTTATATTAGTGAAACCCAATTTTGCTTAGCTAAGTAGAACTTTCACCGAACAATCTAAGTTATAGGTAAATGAAGAAGCGGACAATCTATTTTCAAATGCTTTATAAATTTAAGGCATCCAGTATTTCGACTATTTTTTCTATTCTTATATGCATGACTTAAATGTGCAAATGAGCAAACACGATTTAATACCGTCTTTGCTTGCCTGTCTTCAGAAGAAATGCAATAATTCCTTGTCCTTGTGTTTTAACCTTTAACATGTTGTTTTGGAAGCATTTCTTAATTTTCAAAAAAATGTTCCCATAAAACTCTGCAAACGATGACGTTGCTGCGAAATACCCTACAGTACTTCGCTTAATAAATTTGCCACTTTGTCACGGTCTAAGCCCCTTTCGGCCGGTAGAGCATATATGTATATATTTTTTTTTTTTTTTTTTTTTAATTGTGGTTTGGCTCTCGGAGCCTCCTGACAAAGAAAAATAAAAATAAACTAAAACGAAAAGGTCCGGTCGGTTGTCTGCTGTCTGTCTGTCACCGGTGAGTCAGTCGGTCGTCGTCTAGCGTCGGCTCTACATAGCCACCATATGCACGCCCCTACGTCTCAGCCACAGCGGTGGCAGCTCGTGCTTAGCCACTCATTGGGGACACAAAACAACAAGGGAATAAATAGCTAAAGGGACTTACAGTACGATCCTCTCTTGATGTAGTGCTGCCTCCTTCGGCGGCTCTCGTCCACAGCAAGGAAGCAGGGCGTTCGTCTTACCTCGTCGGCACAATCACGACACGGCTGGGGTGTAGGTGCACGTGGGTGCACGGGATTCCTAGGCGTCTAAATAAAGGCATTACTATTATGGTAGGTCTTTTGTGGGTGGGGAAGGAGAACATGTACTAACATGGCACAGATTTAGCAAAATAATTTTCTTCTTGTCAAAAATCTTCGCATATTTTCGTTATAAAATGTTATTATTGCCATATAAAGACTTACCTTAGATGCAAGCCCCTATGCTTGATGAATTCCCTGAACTAAACCTACGAAGTGTAAATGTGGCAGATTTCATTTTGATGCCATATAACTACAATAGGCCAATGCTCGTTAAATATTAGACCTTTTTGCCACCTAAAGAGTTAACTCTCGTAGGAGTGATGACGAAAAGGGGTTTAAACAAACTTATTCTATGATTCTCTACATCAACTTAGTAGTATGCGTAAACACTAGCACTCATCGAGTTCCATCGAGAAAATTTGAAAATTGCAAAGCGCTTTCTTAAAATAAAGTGTTGTACGTGAAGTAGTCGCGAATACATTTTCTATATGATAGATTTTTGGGCCAAGAAAACGACAATGCGGCATCAAAATATTTCAAAAATGACAACATCAGAGGGACGGATAGATAAGCTTAAATCTATCCAGAAAATGATACCGAATCGATGAGCATAATGAAACGTAGGTCTATGTCATCTTCATCTTGCGAGTATTACATGCATCCAAACTTAACTTGATATGCACGCTCTATAGAATATAGTAATACATCTGGGAGATGATAACCTCTCGATACCCTTCGATTGTTATAATGATTGCAAAATTGTTCACTCCACGGTAGAAAATGCCGTTCATTTTTCTCATTATAGCAAATCGGAAATTACCAATTAAACCATATTTTATCTATAGTTGTTATCATTTTTCTTCAAGTTGTGTTGATTGTTTTTTTTTTATCTTTGTATTTATTTTTTTCAATATTGCTTTTTCGCAAATTGTTGAAAATGTCTTTGCTCAGCATGCGGCAATTAAGAATTAACGACAAAATTGCTGCTTCTTTTATTCTTTATGATCATTGACTTGATGAATTTATATACAGATATTAAGAATCGCTAAGGCGAGGAGCAGTCCTTCGAAAGTTGATTTTTGCATTTATTTTAAAATGCGTTGGTATAGTCTTTGCGGATGTGATCACAAGAATTTATTTTATTCATATTCGTATGCACTTAACACTTAAGATGAATTAAAATGCCTTTAAACTGTTCTGTGCTCTCATTGTTTTTCATATGCTTTCTCTGCTTTTTGTGAGCCGTTCTAATCCATTTAAAGAATCATTTCTAATTTACACGTTCACTAAGCGATTGTCAAGTGCGCATTTGTGTACAGAATGTAGATAAACTTTGTCTTAAAATCTTAAGTTGATTGTGCTGCGTCTTACTTGACAGAGACTGACTGCCTTTTCTTCACGGTCAATGCCAATTGGATTTGTATATATTTCACCATAAACATAAGCAAGCCGAAAGAATTTTTTTTGCTCTTATAACATCTAGATGGCTAAAATTCGCTTCAACCGACATTTTTTCGCAATGATCACAACTAATAATTACGACATTACCAAATACTTTCGGAGAGGACCTTCATAAATAGGTAAAAAAAAAAAAAGGAAAAGTTTGGAAACCTTCTGCTTATCGTACACCTTCTTTCTATTTTTGCTTCAAAATCTAGTATCAACGTTTTAAGAAGCTATAAGCTCTTGATGAAGTTCTGAATTACTTTATCCACATCCATCTGACCGAAGTTTGTCGTTGAAAAACTAGGTAAACATATTTAAAAGAGCGCTTCGACAATATAGATCTAAAGTAGTCGTGATTTGGCAGCTTGCACATTCCTCATCCGCAAATTTCATTGCAATTGTCATACGCCCATTCATCGTATGACCAGTCACTTAAGCGATGTCCCCCATTCGCGCAATACGATGGCGGTCGGGAAGAAATAAAATAAGAGAAAGAAATAGAGAAAGCGTCGCCGCCTAGTGGATGTATGTACGTATTGTGTCAACTAACTCCTTGTCATCACTAACTTCAAGTTTATACGCATTTTTTGCTTTCAGTCTTAACTGTTAATTTAAAGTAAAGTATCGACCTAAGTGGCCGGGTAGACTAAGGACATCCAGTAACAATTCAATCTTCGCGGATTCAAATCTCAACGGCGGTAAAGTCTTCAATTAAGTCGATAGTCTCAGACACTAGTGCTTTCAAACTTTAATCTGTGAGTTGACTTCTCTGGCTAAATTAAGAGCAATGATAATAATAATAAAGTTACACAAAAATATTTGGAAATGAAATAAACGAACAATGTAAGTTCAAAGTTTAAATGAGCCTCAAATTCACATCGTGGTCGGATTAGGGTTAAAGGTATTTAGCAAGAGTACTTGTATTGTCAGGTGCCAAAGTGTAAAATAAAAAAGAGTAGAGAACGTGAGAACTGATGTTCTTGCGATCAAATCTGATCGAAATATTTTGTTAACCTTCAAAAATGCCGTAAACATGTCCAAGAATTATTTAAAAAGCAAGATTTGGCTATCAAGCCGACTAGCGTATCAGTAATATTCCTCCTCCTCCTCCTACTCCCACGTTTCCTCTGTTCTAGTGCGGCAAGTGGAAAATTTCCTAATATGGCTTCAAGTTGAAGCACAACACCAATTATTTGATATCCTGCAGGTTCACAAATTTCAATTCAGTTAATCTAAACAAACTTACCGCCATACATAACAAACAAAGTTATTTTAAGCATAATCAAGTTTGGATTTATTCCCCGCCGTTGACAGTACTCTCCAAATCGTGTGAGTTCAATGCGCGGTGGCATATAGACGGTATCTGTAGCAACTTCTTCGCCACCCATTTTGTTTAAATTTCTTTTTTAATTTTTATAAAAATTATATATATATATATATATATATACAAGTCTTCTTGTTGAGTGAGGTACAATTTTCTTTTTTTACATAAGTTTGTTTGTTTTTTTTTTTTCTTTTTTTTTTGGGGGGGAAACACGATAATTTCCTATATAGAGTGTTATTACTGCACTATTGTCGCACTGTTTGAAAATATGGTTTACATTTCATAATTAGTTTTGTTGAAGGAAGCATCATTTTGATTCTATTTATAAATAAATGGCTTCTAAAATAGACCACGAAGCGCTATTAAATACCCTACACCACACTACAGTTATACATATGACGACCTTTCCAATAGAGTGCTGCACAGGAGCACAGGATGGAAAGGTTTGTGCATCAAGTTTCAGCAAGAAAACAGGACACACAGACGGACAGACTAGCTTAGAATAACATATTGATTCCATTGACTGAATTTTACCAAGTCCCTCTAGATACTGCACACTTCCGGACAAAATTAATGCACCCTTGTACCGTTATTGGTGTAGGATACTAGGATTATACCGATATTTGCGAATCGAGTTTCGATGCAACTTAAATTGAGTTGAATAAAATGACGCTCACTGTTAATATAATCATTGCGGACTGTAAGGTTTAACGTATTCGAAGGAACTCAGGCAGTTAGTCAAGTCTTTCTTAAATTAAAGTTTTATTTTTACTATTACGCTCGACTTTATTATGTAGACCCTGACCGTTTTATAAATTAAATCAATGTATTATCAATTAGAAACAAGAGAAATATAAACCATATTTTGGGACAAAGGAAGCACTATGAATGGTTACGCGCAGTTAGGCAGATGACAAACGATAACACACTTGAAATTAAAGGAACGTTAGCGTTTGATTAAATTCAATTTATATACATAAGATAAACATTGTCAACGTCACCATTATTGCTAACATCATCATCATCATCATCATCATCATCATCATTATCGTCATCACTATTATTATTATTATCACCTCACAAAGATTTTACTCCCATTCACAAAAATGCCATTATTTGTTTTCTTTCCTTTTTCTCGAATTTTTTCTTTTCGCTCTGCTTTATTATTAAAATTGCTTAAATGGATTGCTTTAACACTCAATCAAATTTATTTCCAATTGACTTTTCTTTATATTAGACTTTAGTAAAATTTTAAACATATATTTTCGATTGTATATCTAAGATTCTAGAAGAAAACAAAAATTTAATCATTTTTATCATCCGCTTAAATATTTAATAAAAGTGTATCAATAGAACTCTACTTTTTTTTTTTTATACGGTATCTATAATTTCCATAATTTCACATTCTTGAGCAAAACACTACGCAGTCTGAACAACGACTAAAATTATTTTATCATTTATCCTAAAATTAAATGATGGTAAGCGATCGTCTTCGTTCTCCCCATAAAGCCAAACGTAATCTTAGCTCCATGCTGCATTCTCTTCGAAGATTTTATCATGATGAAAAGGTGTTCCAAAACAAGATAACATATTAAATTTGTGCTCCGTGTTGAGCGGAGTAGTTTAAGTAGTTTAACTAAATGTAGTAAGAGATATGTAGTTTGAATACACGACAGTAAAGTGAAGATTTCACTGAGGAAAAGGTGCTGCCAATACAAAAAAAAAAAAAAAATTTAATATATAATATTATAGAAAAGATGACTTTGATTTCACGTGAAACAACATTACACTTTACGATATATATAACCCCAACAATAGAAATATGATAAACCTAACTTTTCAATAAGATGGCACAACAAAAGTCATAATAAAAACAGGCAACCGTGCATTTTTTAAAAGTAACATTTAAAAGTAACATTTTAAATTTGAATTCAGTATGTTCAGTAAGATCCTATGTCAAAACTTTTGTTGCCAAAGATTGACGGATTGCATTTAGAAATCACATGCAACACATTAAAGCGAAGACATGCAATCGCGCGCTTATTAATAGCAAACTGGACATTTTTATGCCAAATTTGGTATTAAATTGATTTTGAGCATTAGATTTTCAATGGAATTGAGCGCACATCATAACACAAAATGCAAACATGCAACCGTGCGCTTGTTAATAGCAAACTGGAAATTTTTTTTTACCAAATTTGATTTTAATATGATTACAAAAAGATTTTTAGCTTTACGGTTTCAATGCGATGCAGAACACACTACAATATTAAATGAAAACAGGCAACCGTGTGGTTGTTACTGCAACAATTCGGAAATATTTATATCAGATTTAATTTAGTATGCTGCAAAATGAATTCATAATTTCCATAGTCCAACATGCATTAGGTGCACATGAAACTAGGACGTTGCTGCAAAATTCGTCATCCAACTCAATAATTACTAGCACAATACTATAATAATTCCATTGTACGCATTAAATTGCTCCCCACTGTTGCTTAACTTGACCTTGTTTCTATATAATAATTAAATAACTTTGACAGCAACATATCAATTCTTTCTGGTAGATTAAAAGATATTTCAGATGTGAAATAAAAAAGAAGAAATTTCAGTTGCGGCTCACTTTGTACCACCCCTTAGTGTAATTCTCATCTCATCAGTGTCTGTTTGCATCTCTAAATCATTTTGCTGTTGTTGTTGTTGTTGTTGTTTGTTGCCGTTATGATATAAATTAATCCACTCTCACAATGTGCAACGTCTGTGTAAATCACACGAACAACAAGATAACGGATAACGCTATATAACGACCACTACTGAACTATTGCTAATTCGTGTACATAGATTCCTACGTTAAATGTAAAATAATAATAATGAAGAAGTAATTTCTTGGGACGAATTGAAATGTGTAAATATTCTTAAACAGAATCAAGGATACAATATGCAAGAAATTCAAAAGTAAAAAAATGTCTAACGAATGCAACTCTTCTTATGTCGTGGAAATTTTTGTCTCATATAGATTTGAAAATTTCACAGTTATCCTTGTTTGAAAAAATATCGCATTAGTATTCAGAATTAAATTATTCTCTCTCTCTCTTGTGTTCTTGTTCTTCCTGTTAATATCACATCGGCATTTTATGTACGGTATTCAGATTTAAATTATCCTTACGTTGTCTTCCGCTCTCTCCTTCGTTCTTGTTCTTCTTGTTAATATCAAGTAGACATCTTATGTACATATATTAACACTTTATAAAATTATAAACACCTGCTGTTTCATTCTACTAAATGACATCATAAAAAAAAAAGTCATTATCTGCATGGAAAGCTACTCCTTTGCATTGTTTGTCATCGTACTGTCATCATTGGCTTTGAAGTTTACTAACATAATAATGCGTTTTTAAGCTGTTGTTGTTCTTACGTATCAGTAGGACTGTTTTCCCTTACATTTCGTTATTTACGTTATTTATGTTATGTGTCGCGTTGCAGTCTCTGCTTCGTTCGGTATGAATTTATCAGATTTAATATTTTGTAAAAACAAAAAAAAAAAAAAGAAGAGAGCTTTAAGCATTTACAATACAATAAAGTATTTATATATATATATATATTTATATACTTTATCAGCTCTATCAGTCACTTGTCAAGTCACCGTCTTTTTTTCTTTGTTTTTTCCACCTGTTTCTACTATCACTTTCCTCTATTTAATAAGTTTCCTGGTTTTTTATCTAAAAATTTCAAAATCGTTCGCAAACAAATCAACGAACAAACGAAATTCAAGTTTATCAATCAACAACAACATTTTTATCTCAGTTACATACTGTAAGCAGTGACTGGCAGAATGATAAGGCAGGCGAAATACAGATTTAAGTAAATATTAAATATATAATATTTATAAAGTTGCCAATAGACTACTATGCAATTTTATTTTATTTATATATGTGTCCGCGCACAAGACTCCCTACCCCAACATGCGACTGTTTCCCAACAGGAGCTGGTAATAATTTTCCATTTAAGTCTCCTACATCTTTTGGTAACAACTAAATTTATTCTGTCAAAACATTCAATCCTCCACTTATCAGATAACTGAAACTGGTCGCCCTGGTAGTTGTCACATAATGCATTGCTTAATTTTTTATGATGCCCAGAGCACTTTTGTCGCCTTCTTACAAGTAAATTATTATAAATTTTATTACAATTTTTAATAAAAGTAGATGTCACTATATGCAATAAACATTTGGATTAAGTAAGGATGTTTATACACATATAAACAAGTCGAAACATTTAAAACTTGTTCATAAATTGATCAAGTTTAAGGACCACAACCAACTCGTGTTTCACTCTCTCTCTCTTTTTAATGTTTAATCATTTTTAAATTTAAACAAACATAGCCAAAAATTTAACAGAATTTAAGCACCTATGTTGGATAACAATTCCTTTACCATTGATAAAGTAACATTTATTATTATTATTTTAAATGATAATTAATTAATTTAAATGCAAAAGCTTAAAATTTAAGTCTGTACGACTTTTAAAATGTTATATAATCTAAGCTCAAGTCGGCGTAAGCCAGGTTGGCTTTTTATCTTTAGTAATTTTTAATATTTTTAGTGCGAAAGAACAAAATTATTAAATAAATAATTATCTTATTTTATAACTTATATACGAGCTGTTTATTTTGAAAGTGGTTTAAGTCTATTTTTAAAAAAAATTTAGTTAATGATAACGCTAGGATTTGGGGCGCTTGAAAGTTAGCTAGTTAACCAAATGCAAAAAAATTTATTTTGAAACTCGTTTAAGTCCACTGAAAGAAATAATTTGGATATGGATTTACTATTAGAACATTCATTTTTGCCAAATGATAGTGATTTTGGAATGATAGAAATGGCTTTGAGGAAAAATAATTTAATATATGTCCCCCAGAATTACTATGAAACCATAAAACTATAAAACCATGTCGAAAGAGTAACAAATTGATATTAACTAAAATGAAAGGTAAAGATTTTTTTCTACAAAACCTCTGGAAGAAGCAATTCATAAAAGATTAAAACACACTAGTGGCGAACCTGTAAATTGGCTAAGGATATGTTGGATGCGATTTATAAAAAGTGA